TTACACACCACGCCAGCAAAGCCACCATTTCCCAACCCAGCGCCCAAAGGCACCTGGGCCAGGGCACTGCCCATCTCTGGTTCTTCTCTCTGCTACCTCACCCTCCCACTCTCCCAGACTTCCTCCTGCAGGCAGCACCGACACCTTCTCCTCATCCTCTCCAGCTGAGGACTTGCTGGGTCTGTCCTGGAGATACCACACAGTGACCGTGGGACGAGCCAGCTGCACTGTAGCTTCCCTTCCGCCCTGCACTCCCAGGAAAGCGAGGTCTTGGGCTCAAGAGCTCCTGCCCAATGCCAGGCGTCTGCCTGGCAGAGAGAGCTGCTAGAAACCGGCCGGGGGGTTCTGCCGGGCAGAGGCTTTGCACCCACTCCCAGGCGGGCCCTGGCACCCCCCTGCAGGGGCTCAGCGCAGCCCTGCAGCTGCAGGGCCCAGAATAGCTCATCTTTCCCCGGAACACGGCCACGAGCTGCCTGTGCCCACCTGGTTCTGCCTGTCACTGTGATCACCGCCCTTGCTGCTGATGGTCCTTTCCAGACTGGGATTAAAATCTCTCTGAAGCAGCCAGATGGATGGGGCTATTTATATTTCTGGTTTTCCACAGCCTCTCTCCTCCATCTGTGCCCCACAAAGGACAAGGAGCATCCCCGCTTGGGCTCTGCAGGGAATTGCACCCAGAAAGCAAGAAAGGTCTCTCTCAGGCTAAACTGGGAGTGGGTCTCCACTGGGCAAGGCTGCAGTGCTGCAAGCACACCTTTCCCCCGGGGTTTCTGACAGCGTTTTCTGTTTGGCAAGGCCTTGCCAAACGGAAAATGCCATCTGCTTAAGAAACCAGGGTGAGGGCTCGGAGAGAAGCATCATTTTCTCAGTTATCACATCCAAAACCCATGCCAGGTGACCCTGTATGACTATCACCCATGCACATGCCAGTTCCTTGCTGGATCTTAGGGAAGCGACGGGAAGAGAAGAGACCTAAGCAGTGCAACTATTGGTGTGACCAGGGCTCTGTCTGCAAGGTTTTAGTGCAGGCAACTCTATGCCACCCACCTCCCTCCCTTATCAGGAACAGATCCCCCCTAGTCTATCCCCCAAATCCTGTCCTTGCAATCCCAGACAAGAAAATACAAGTATCGTCAGGATTATTTCAGGCATGGAGGGACCTCAGAGCTGCATCAGCAGCCAGGGGCATGGGGGGGCATCTCCCCTGCTGCAAATGGAGGAGAAATAGGGGACCTCACCGCAGGCTACAGCAGCCCTGCAGCTGCCAAGGCCCAGGCTGGTAAGAGTCGGGATCCAACCTGGAGATCCAGCACTGCAAAAGCCAATTCCTTGCCCTGCTTCATCCAGCATGACAGAATCAGGCTCCAGGGTCTCTGTCTAGCAGGGATGTCCCTCTGAAAACCCCTGCCCAGAATCAGAAGGTGATTTGCTGTTCATTGGAGGTCCCTTTGAGAAGCCCAAAGCAGACGGTGCTTTGGCCAGCTCCACTGGTATTTGGCCACCATGTGCAGGCAGTGAGCAGCAAGGTTCAAACCTGGGCCAAGGGAGAGCCGCCACCTGGCTACACCCCTCCATCCTGGGAGAGGCAGTAATTGCAAATTTCCTTACAGCGCCAGCTCACCACCGGGATTTACAGACCCGGTCACATACACGGAGCTGGATCACCCTGGTCTGTCTCGCCGGCATAACTCCTCTGGCACAACAAAGTCTTGGCATGGCCAGGAGGAAGGTTCCATGCTGTGATCCATCAGTGCTGGCCAGAGGGATCCCCCTCACCCCTCCTACAGCTGCGGGCCCAGTTCCCCCAGCTCATCCGGCTGGAAACTGTGGGCAACTGCTGATGTCAGCAGAGCAAGAGGAGCCAGACCCCTGACTGAACACATCTCACAAGAATCGCCAGCGAGCCGAGGCTGTGCAGCCTTTCAACAGGGCAGGTCACGGCAAACTTTCTCTTGATTCTCCCAGCGGTAGGTGTAGCTGCAGGACACATGGTGGCAATAAAACGCACGTGGCCACAGAGAAATGTCCTGAGCCAGGACAAGCCACCCTGCGCCTGTGCCATGAGGGACGCTCGGCAGACCCTGCGAGCTCGGCACACGCCATGTGTGCAGGCACAACTCTGCTGACTTTGCTGAAGCCCTGGCCGGCTTCTAGCAGCCAAGGACCCACCCTGTGCCACTGCCACCTATCACCCTCACATCACCTCCAGGATTTCCAGCTGGCTACCCAAAGTGAGAGGCTGCTTAGGGAAGAGTGGCAGGGCTGCCTGGCAGAGCTGGGACTGGGTGTATGAAGAACCCAACCTTCAAAAAGCCACTATAAAAAGATCCAGGTCTGTATAACACCCCTGGCTGCTACACACACATGCTTCAACCATGTTAGGGGACACAGAGTAACCTGACCTCCGGGTGTTGAACGAGCTGCAGGAATAGCAGCGTGCACCAGGCCGACGCGCTATCGGCACAATCACGCAGCTCTAGCCGCGCGGCAGTGTCAGCCCCCAGCCCCTACGGCCACGCAGGGCTCTCCAGAAGGAGCCTCAGCTCCATATCCCCGGTGTCTCCTTCCAGGAAACAGGGCCTGGATAAAATCTCCCTGCTGGCCCAAGCAGGGGACAGAGGGTGAGGGTATAGTGTGACCCTAACACGACCAGAGAGCTACCCCTGCTTCCCAGCAGAAGACAACCATGTGCAGCAGGACTGACAGCACTCATGCTCCCGCCGATCCCTCCGAAGTGTCCCCAGCCTCCTGCCTCCCTCCGGGCCCTCTGTTCCTGCTCCTGCACCTCCCCTAGCCCCTCTCAGTCCCAGTCAGGCCTTGCTCCACTCTTTACAGAGCTCCTGGAGATGCCCAGGGCGATGTGGGACAGCTCTGGGGTGGCAGATGTCACACAGGACCCACGAGAAAGTCACAGCCCTCCAGGGCAGCAGAGGTCTGGGGCACCTGCGACAGCATCGGAGTCACATTCCTGTAACTGAATCACAGAATCACAGAATGCTAGGGCTTGGAAGGGACCTCGCAAGATCATCTAATCCAACCCCCCTGCCAGAGCAGGCTCCTGCACACCCACCGGCGGTGAGCTCTGACGAGAGTGAGCCTCCATCTTGCTTCCACAAATAACGCGGGGACACGTCCTCACTGCTCGCACTCAGTCTCCCCTCGCGTGTTTTGCCCCCTCAATGACTTGAAGGTCTTTAGGTAAACTCAGTCCTCTCCAGAGAGGGCTGGGCAACGAAGGGAGGCAATTAAAAAAAGTGATAGGGAGAGATTAAACAGCACAAATTTGCTGCAGGAAGAAACATCTCCAGGCCTGCTCCACTACCTGCAGGCCCCACGCAGAGCCCAGCTCGACGCCCTCAGTGCTCAGCTCTTCGCTGGGATTGAGCCTACAAAGCCACCAGGACGTGGCGACAGAGGGACAGGTAGCGCAAGCATGAAAGAGGCAGAGCCTGCGGCTGCTGGGCTTCTGATAGCGAGGGCTGCTGGCAGGACAACAGGCTGAGAAATCCACCAACAGGATATAGCAAAAGTAAGCTCATACACAATAAACACAAAATTTTTTTCATACACTATATCACTCAGCAGACACCTGCCTGTCATTAATAGGAAAGGCTGTTGGTTCTTCCTGGGCAGCACCAGCCCCTGCCCGGAACGTGGCGAGGCGGGTCCCCACCGGGCTGTCCTCCCGTCAGGCCACGCTGCCACACGCCGCCAGGCTCTCTCCAGCTCTGTCCTCACAGGGTCCTGGTCTCAGCCGAATCCAAAACCTCTTCCCAGCATCCCCACCTCCTGCTTCCCTTGTTCAACCTGCCTCAAGATTTGCTTTGCCTCTTGAACCTCCCAGCTGAGGTAACTGCACCTTCCAAATCTTGTTGTAACCCCTTGGTCAGGGAAGAAGTTGAAATCAGCATCTGGAGCTTCACTCTGCTCCGAGCTCACTGGAGACACTGGTCAGACAGCACACG